ATTGAAACACTAATTACATTCGAAAACCTAATGGCTATTATTGTTTTCATTGTAAATGAACCAAATATGACGCTGATTTTCGGCTTTTTCGACATCCTGCTGGTTTTAAGCTTGGCCACTTCTTGGTTGCTGAATGGCACGTAGCCGCATCCTTACATTGGCATGCTATAGCATGTACTCTCCCATAATTGACCTACCTGTGCCCAGGAAGTTCCTCTGTTCAAATATATATGTGATATCTTGTGTTTTGAAGATTAACAAGGAAAAAATCGGGACTGTGTGCTAATGACATTGTTCTCTTTCGACATTTACACGCCCATGTTTAAAATGTTTTGTGTTATACTTGTCGCGGCTTTTTTCGCTTTCGCATTTAATCAAAATTTTTCTCTCCTTTCCTATCTTTCATATACGCAGTGCTTATTCTGTTTTTATTTGCGAACATGTACTTATGCAATTCACACTTTTTCACCCCTCCTGTACCCAATCATTAGATGAATCCAAGGTCAACCAAGAATACCTCGTTATTTGTTTTCTCGCTGTTAAATTATGTTTTCTTTGGTATACTCTGTCTAAACTCGGACACATAGAATGTCTGGCTGTTCAGACGATCTCATTGCATTCACGGACCCAGAAAACGTGCGTGTGGACTCCCCAAAATCAAGTGTTCTTGCAGAGTTCGATCCCCTTTTTGATTTTAAAGGAAAGGATGAAGCATTTTCCAAAACTCTACGCCAACCACTCAGACGAACCTTCCAGCGGGAGCGATCCTCCGAATCCAGTCAGTCCGTGGATCAATGTTATCAGCCATGTAGCAATAGACTTGGTGGAATATTTGACAAAGATGCGATTTGGGGCGAGTTAGAGGAGTTTGCGTTGTCTGAGAAAGCAGTCAATAAAGTCGCACTTCCACATTCCTCCACCTCACCCAATCTCACGACTACTCAATCAACCTTAAATTCCGAGGTGAAGGTACAGTTATTTACTTACTTTTTTAGTTTGCCCAAAAATACTTTCATCTTCTGAATCTTTTTTACAGACATAAGTATTTCGATATATGTAATTGTGAGAGCACTCGTTGTTCGCGAGTGGGCGGCAAGATCCTAAATTGGTTCTTGCTAAACAATTAGTGGGTTTGCGTCACTGCGCCTCATCGCCTGCACCAATAGCACTCGAGGTTTAGTGGCACCTTATGCCTTATTGGGTGTCACCCACCCCATTATGTTCCATTCTTATGCACAATCACGAAGGCACACCACGTAGTCAATGAATCTCAGCTATTTTAAGGTTTCCATCCACCTTTTGCATCTATTTACGGTCTGTCTGTCGGAATTTTCTTTTCATTATTTTTTTTTAATTCCCAGCAAACGTCTCGAGACTCTCTCCCCCTTCCTGCTAATGTCGCCGTTGATCTAAGTCTCCTGAACTTCGCTAAAGCTGTTGAAAAGTGAGTAACACCTTTTTAATGAAGCGGTCTTTTAAAGG